TTCCAAAACTATTTCTATCATCATTTTCAAAACGTTAGTGAACCCATCCCATGACAAATCTATGGCGGCATAAGAGGAAGATTGGTCACTGTCCCTGACCCATGGCAACTCTATGGGGTCATTTGGGGCCTAGGTAACTCAACCACATTAGGACGATCTCCCTAGTCCCCTCTAGGCCTCACTAACGCCGCGGTCCCTAGGCAACTCCTAGGCGGCCGGGTTTTTCACAAAAACCTTTCCCAAAAACCCATTTCTTTCTTTCAAAACAACATTCCCCATTTCTTCCCAATGAAGTGCATGTATGTTTTATATTTTCATGCCATGCCAATATTTGTCAACACACATGTAATTTCAAACTCATGCCATTTTACATGCTTTACAAGAATTTCTAAGAAATTATAACATTACTTACATTCAACAATAAACTAGCAGGATTTAAGCATATAAGACATGAATTCTATATCATTCAAGCATGCTATTACACATAATGTCAATTAAAACACATAGTCGTGTAATTCATTTAGAACAATTTAATCATTTACAAGAAGATCAACACAAAATAACATGCTAAGTAGCAAAATCAAGAAGGAAATTCACTAAGGTGCAAGAAATTGTACATTAAGAACCCCTACCTCAAAGGAGGAAAAAAAAACCCAATTTTATGCCCTAAATTTCGAATTTCCTATAGTACACCAATCAAGGAATTGCTCCTATCAACTTGTAGACCTCGCCGTGAACTTCAATTTTCCGCAAACGGCATTAAAAAATACCAAGTATTGAAGAAGGAATCAAGGATTGAAGCCTTGAAGTGAAAAAAAAAAAAAAAAAAAAAAAAAAAAAAAAAAAAAATGAGCTGAGAGGAAGAGAGAAATAGACCAGCGGGGAGAGAGAATGAGGAAATAGAGACCAAAATGTGGTCTTATAACCACTTAAAAAAAATTACGGGTCCCACAGCTAAAATAAAAAAATCCTCTTAACACACACACACACACACACACACACACACACAAGATTACCGTAAACATTACATTCTCCAACTTTAAAAGATTTCGTCCCTGAAATCAAGACATACCTGAGGGAGAAAACAATTCTGGATACTTGGAACGAACCTCCTGTTCAAGCTCCCAAGTAGCCTCCTTAACTCCATGATGCCTCCAGAGAACTTTTACCAATGGTATTGTCTTATTCCTTAACACCTTCTGCTGTGTGTCAAGGATTTAAACTAGTCCCTCCTCGTAGGAAACATCCTCATCAATGTCCACATTAACCCAACTCAAAATATGAGATGGATCCGGCTCGTACTTCTGTAGCATCGATACATAAAAGACATTGTGGACTCTGTCCATCTGCGATGGCAAAACAAGTCTGTAGGCAACCTCTCCTACATGGTCCAAGATCTCAAAAGGTCCAATGAATCGTGGCGATAACTTGCCACTCTTCCCTAGCCTTATCAACTCCTTTCGTGGAGAAACCCGTAGAAAGACATGGTCTCCCACCTCAAATGATAGCAGCCGCCTCTGCCTATCCGCATAACTCTTCTGTCGGTTATGAGCTGTGAGTAACCTCTGTCTGATCAGCTTAATCTTTTCAATAGTCTCTAGTACAATGTCGGGTCCTAAGGCGGCTGTCTCACCTACCTCAGTCCAACAAATAGGAGACCTACAAGGTCTACCATACAACGCCTCAAATGGAGCTATCTGAATACTGGCCTGATAACTGTTGTTGTGGGCAAAATCAATAAGTGGAAGGAAATCCTCCCAACTACCTCCCAAATCAAGTACACATACCCGAAGCATATCCTTCAAGATCTGGATGATACGCTCCGATTGCCGTCCGTCTATGGATGGAATGCCGTACTAAGGTGTAACGATGAACCAAATGTTGCCTGAAGTCCTTTTCAGAACCTCGAAGTAAACTTGGCATCCCTATTTGAAACAATAGCCATTGGAACTCCGTGCAACCTCACAATCTCTTTCATATAAAGAACACCAAGTGCTTCCACGTCATCTGTTGCCTTAATAGGCAAAAAATGTGTCGTCTTGGTCAATCTATCAATAATAACCCATACGACTTCATTTCCCTTCCGTGATCTAGAAAGAACTGTCACAAAGTCCATAGCAATCTGCTCATATTTCCACTGCGCTACAGGCAATGGTTGTAATAAACCGGCTAGTCTCTGATTCTCAGCCTTCACCTGCTGACAGGTAAGGCATCTAGTCATAAACTGTGCAAGATCTTTCTTCATTCCGTTCCACCAATACTGACGTCTTAATTTGTGATACATTTTAGTACCACCTGGATGAACTGTAAAGCGGGAAGTCTGAAATTCCTGTAAGACGTCCTCACGACATCTTGTGGAAACAATCAATAAGCCTCTGTACCGTAGACCTCCATCTGCATGTAAGGTCCAATCTTTCACTGTCTTACCACTGGAAATCAAGATGTAAATGGCATCCAAATCTGGATCATGTCTCTGCGACTCAATCACTCGTCTGACAAAACTAGGTTGAGCCACAAGACTAAACAAGAATGCCGACTCACAGCAAGCATCGTCATCAAAACATTGCAATCCCATTTTTGCCAAATCCTCAAGCATCTTCCATTTTCGAATAGCCAAATCGGCCAGAGTCCCACAAGATTTCCGGCTTAAGGCATCTGCTACCACATTTGCCTTGCCCGAATGATACTGCAACTCAAAGTTGTAGTCCTCCAAGAACGCAACTCAAAGTTGTAGTCCTCTAAGAACTCAACTCATAGCCTCTGTCTTTTGTTCAAGTCCTTTTGGGATAAAAGGTACTTGAGACTCTTGTGATCCGAGAACACCTCGAATCTCTCATTATACAAGTAATGTCTCCAACACTTCAAAGTAAACACGACTACCGCTAACTCCAAATCATGAGTAGGGTAGTTAAGCTCCTGAGTCTTCAACTGTCGAGACCCATAAGCCACTACTCTACCATCCTGCATCAACACACAACCCAAACCATCACGTGAAGTGTCACAATAAATAACATAACCCAAGCCACGCTCAGGTATCACCAACACTGGAGCTATAGTCAATCTTGTCTTCAACTCTTGAAAGGATGACTCACAGGCTTCATTCCATGTAAACTTGATCCCTTTCTGGGTCAAGCGAGTCATAGGCGCTGCCAAGGGAGAAAAATCATTCACAAATCTTCGGTAGTAACCCGCTAAACCAAGAAAACTGCGGATCTCAAACACATTCTTAGGTTATTACCAATTCAGAACTGCTTCTATCTTTGATGGATCAACCGATACTCCACCTTCCGAAACAACATACCCCAAAAACTTCACCTCTTGAAACCGAAACTCACACTTCTCATATTTGGCATATAATCGGTGCTCCCGTAAAATCTGTAATACAATACTCAAATGGATCTTGTGCTCCTCCTAAGATCGTGAATATACAAGAATGTCATCAACAAAAACTACCACAAACTGGTCCAAGTAATCGTGAAAAATGCGGTTCATCAAGTCTATAAATGCCGCTGGCGCATTAGTCAAGTCAAAAGGTATAATAAGGAACTCACAGTGTCCTTACCGTGTATGGAACGCCGTCTTTGGAATATCTTCAACCTAACCCGCAATTGATAATAGCCAGACCTCAAGTCAATCTTCGAAAAACAACTGGTTCCCTTCAACTGATCAAACAAATCATCTATCATCGGCAACGGATACTTGTTTTTGATGGTGGCATAATTCAACTTCCGGTAATCAATGCACAACCTCAAAGAACCATCTTTCTTCTTAGCAAATAAGACCGGTGCACCCCACGGTGACACACTCGGTCGGATGAAACCTTTCATCCTCAAATCATCAAGCAGCCTCTTCAATTCTTCTAATTCAACTGGTGCCATACAATACGGTGCCATAGAAATCGGCGCGGTACCAGGCATTAAAGCAATAGTAAACTCCACTTCTCGATGTGGAGGCAACTATGTCAAATCCTCAGGAAACACATTCAGAAAATCACAAACAACCACAGGATAATCTTCTTCCACTACATCATCTTCTTCGGCTAGAAGACTAGCCAAGAAATAATCACCACGACTCCGTCTAAGAACTCCATAAAAGGAAGAAGTGTGGGAATCACTCCGATCTCCCACGAAAAAGAAACAGTCTCCCTCATGAGTGCAAACTGTGACTCTACCTCTGAAATAGTCGATCATGGCACGAAAGGAAACTAACCAATCTATCTCGAGAATGACATCAAAGCTAGTCATCTCTAGGAGGATGAGATCAAACACAAACGTCTGCCCGGCTATCACAATGGAACAATCCCTCACGACTCAGCTCAAAGACACTGAAACCCCAACTAGAGTATCAACACATAACGCCCGATCCATGAAACTAACCTCTAACCCCGATATAAGTGCAAATGATGATGATATGAAGGAATGAGATGCACCAAAGTTAAATAAAATACGGGCCCAAGAACCAAACATTGGAAATATACCTCAGAGAACTAATGGACCAGAAGATGCATCGGCCTGTGCAAGTGCAAAGACACGTCCCTGTGGTGCATATGCCTGAGAACTGCCAACCTGAACACCTAACTGCTGCACTGACATAGTAGGAGTATCCCTCCTAACTGGCCGTGAACCCTGAGAGGACATGGCAGGCTGTGATGGTGGTGGTCTGAAACCTGACTAAACTGTAGCCGACTGTGACGGCCTCTACTATGATCCTTTGCCACTACTGGTGCCTGCTCCCTGATTAGGACAATTCTTAACCTTATGGCCCTGTTGACCACAACCAAAGTAAACCCCAGAACTAATCGATACATGTGGATACTCTGACTTGTAGTGACCCGGTTAATTACAGCGATAACAAATGACACCACTCCTGGCAGACCCTGCTGGCATAGGGGTAGTAGGAGCGGATCGTGCAGACTGCTGCCCCTGAAACTAAGATGAACTACCTTTGTTCCTTTTCTATGAAGGTCTCTCTGAAGATGGTCCTACATTCCTCTTTTGCTTTCACTGTTCCTTTCTTGCATCTTTATTTTTGGCCTCCGCTTCTAGCATCAATGATCTTTCCACAGCCTCAGAATAAACCTTGATGTATTGTGCCGTTATTAGCGGCCTTATTTTGTAATCAAGCCCGGAGACAAATTTCCTAGTCTTTTCAACTTCATTGTTCACCATCTCTAGAGCAAAATGAGAGAAAGAGGTGAACTTGTTCTCGTACTCCGTCACAGACATATTGCTTTGGATAAAGCCATTAAACTGGTCCCTTAGTTCCCACCTCTTGGGAGCAGGGAAATACTTTTCATAGAACAACTCTTTGAACCTATTGTGATACCCCTCGATTCTAGAGTCACGGGTGATCAAGTCTGAGCACAGATCCGAGGGATATCAGACAATTAATATGTAACCAAGCAAGAATAAAACTGAATTAAGAATAAAATAATAATGCGCTGAAAGAAACTAAAATAAAAATCCTCGAACCTTAAATAATAAATTAATATAATTTAAATCCGTACAACTCGGGAATCCACCTAGTGGACCCCTAATTCCAAAACTTTAAATAAATTTACAGAATTAAAATCCAAAACAAAAATAGAAAGGAAATCCTATGTAACCGGAAGAATGAGTGTCTGTATCTGTATCAACACGATCAAACTCTAAACCTGGTACTGGCGAATACCTGAAAAATAAAAGTGGGTCAGGCCCACATGCAAGTTCCAATCTACTACAATCCGTGCATAAACCCGATACGCAGATACATCCTTGATAGCTCGGCAATATCTACAATAGTCCATATATATATATACACACTATAGGATGCTCACTAGCCTATAACATAGTTCAGCCTGGGTAGAAGGTGACATATAAAACACGCTTTTCAGCGGCCAAGTACCTAGACCTACCAGGGAACATTAGCTATATCTAGCTACCCAACCTTTGCAATATATGCACCTTAACTGTGATCAAGAGACTCAAGCTCGTATCACGGTACCATAAATATATATATAAATTCCTTCCTAATGCAGAAAGATAAAACAAACATCCGTTATGTCGTTCAACTGTTTTAGTTGACAGGACATGCATCCATGTAGGATTTAACTGTTTTAGTTAATCCATTCCATATGTATGAAGGGGTAGGACTTAGCATTTTGATCTAATTCATCCCTGATATGTCACCGTCCCATACTGGTACATATAATGCATATGATTCATATACAATGCAGAATCACTCAAACATCCAATCCATCCAAATCCAAACATAATAGAAATCAATTATAGACAAGATCCTATTATGCATCCAGTATATGACTATATTTATAATGAAAACTCCTTTTGAAATTGTTAAAACAATAAACAATTTAATCCATCCATCTCCATATAATTGACAGAACAAGAATTTATAACAGTTCAGCAATTACCATTCGTAGCATGATATAATGATTATCAGAATTATAAACTGAGCAACATTATACTAGAAATTCCAACCAATCCTTCCATACTAGTTCACTTGAATTAATACAACAAGACTAGCAATTAAATCCTCCTAAATCCCTGACAGCATGCCAATTCGTGTATAGATTTCATGCTGCCCATAACCACAACCTAACCAACATTCCTGAGACTTAAGTATGTCTTAGATATCATTGATATAAAATCCTAAAAATCCCTTTTATATCAATTCATTTAATTTGCTAAAACAAATAGCAACTCAATCCTCCTTCCTCTCGGACAGCATGCGCATTATATGATTAGGTTTCATGACGCCCCTTAGGATTAGCACCCTAGCATAAACCAACCATTTTAGGGTTTTATCAAATTAATTTTAAATATTTAAAACCCCACAACAATTTTCAAAAATTCCATTTAAGCCCCTTAACTCAGAAACTTACCCGAAAACACCCCGTAGGGGTTTTATTCAAGGGAGCCGGCTTCCCCACCATGGGAGCCGGCTCTAACATTTCCAGAGCCGGCTCTCCCCCATGGAAAGCCGGCTCTCTCTTCATGGGATCCGGCTCCCACACTTAGGGAGCCGGCTCTCCCCCTGAGAGCCCCCTCTGCTTCGTCTCTGCTTCGTCCAGTGATCTCTGTGCTTCCGGCGAAGTTCAACATCCCTGTCCAAAATATTTTTAACATACCTAAGGTTCAATTTAAGTTCTTATTGTCCTAGAAACTCCTCTCCTTCCAGTATGAATTAATCAACAAAAATCTAAACCAAAACCAAAAACAGTTTATGTTGCCTCTGCTCGTCTTCCTTGATTCCGGTAAAGTTCTAACCTCTGTTCCAAAGTTTCCTTAAAGTTATTAAGGTTCAAGATAAGTCCCAACAGTCCTAGAACACCTCAATTTTAATTTTTAATTGATTTACAGAAGTTTAAAACAAACACAGACCAGTTTAAGCAAGAAACCATTTTCAGTTTAAATAAATATAACACAAGTTACAGTCCGGTGAAACATGCATCAACCATCCGTTTTAAGAGTTGAATTAAACCCTGGAGTCTATAAAGAATGCACATAACACAAGTTTATAGGAAAGAGATAGACTGAAACTTGCCTTTAAGGTTTCGGCTTGAAACCTTTCACATCATCTCTAAATTCTGGCGAAACCTAAGATCGTTCCTTCCTCCTCTGTTCACTGTTCTTCTTCCTTTGTTGCTTCTTGACTCAACCCACTAGCAACACCCTTAACCAAACTCTCTAGACCCTCTCTGTTTATTTCTCCAGCCTCTCTCTGTTTTTCTCCTCTCAAGACACAAGTACGTGAATAGGGTTTTTTCCCAACCCTAGCAACATATAAGAATATATATAGGCTTCCCAATCTTAAGTCTGATTGTAACCATACATCTATAAGCTTTAATTAAACCCAATGTAAATCGGCTACTCCAACCTCATTAATCAAAATCCTAAACATAAACTATATGGCACACATAATAATTTAAAACAATCAAGTCCACCTAAGTACACAAAACTTAATACAAATAATCCACACAAGCTGTAAAATAAAACATGTCATTTAAATCACCAATTAATCAAATAATTAAACCAAATAACAATCTAACAATTTATTTAAAATAAATTCACTAAATACCAATTAAACAATTAATTTTCAAATAAATAAACAAATACAACTTAAATAAATACTCATTTAATCAATTAAGAAATCAAGCACACAATTCAGATAATTAAATAAAAATACAATAAAATCCTTAATCAAAATTCCCAAATTAGCCTTTTGAAAACTAGGGGTATTACACTTATCCCAACTCATCTCTTCAATTTTATACTGATTTGTGATCAACTTCCACCAAAGCTTGGCGTCCTTGGAAAACTTGTAAGTGGCTATGATGATTTTCACATAATCATTCGTCACATTCATAGAGGTCAATTGAGTTTCAACTTGATCCATATAATCGTCTACTTCCATTGGATCCGCACCACCCTCAAACATCACTGGCATCAACTTAGAAAACCCTGAAATCAACTTAAGACGTTTCTGCACTGGCGTCTCCTTCATCTGAACTACCCGTTGTGGTACCGGCTGCAGATGAGTAGCAATTGTAGCCCTCAAGGCTCTCTATTACAAACAGTTTAATGCTAGTTCCGCCGAACCTTCACCCTCTTCAACGGGTGTTTGAACATTGTTCCTTCTGGTAGGAACACTTCTTGGGGGAATCAAATCCCTAAGAAACGTATCCTCAACGACATGTTCCACTGGATTAAAGTTAGAACTCTCGCCAACATCACCTATTTTCAGCATAGAGCCAACACCTCTGGGTTCTTTTTGTAGTGGCATCGTACTATAAAATAGAAAATGATTCAATAACGATAACAGTAAGGTCCAAACAACTCAACACAAAAGGATACTGCACAAACACTTAGCATGCAAAACTATGCAATGAACACATTAATATAAGCATATAAGTACATAAGCATGTAATCAAGTAAACACTTAAGCGTGCTTTTTCACATAGCAAAATACTTTAACAAATAATCACATAGCAATGTAAACGACTCCCCAAACAATCCTAGGCAGGCCTCTACCCGTTGTCCTAATGGTTTTCAAACCATGGCTCTGATACCAAATTTGTAACGACCCTAAATTGATACCAATTTAAAAAAATAAGAAATAAAAAATAAAAATTGGCATGACCTCTACTAAAAAGGGTCCTACAATAACCTATTTAAATGCATAAAAATGCAATGATCTCTCTTGGACCTTAAAAGTTTATCAAACCTATCCCAACACACAATGCAAATAATACATTTCGACATTCCATCCATTTATTCATTATGCTTCAACATAGTTCAACTCATGGTGGCACAACTACATGCCATTTAATCCAAATATCATAATTACAGTCCCAAAAATATAATTACCATAACAAGAGTTCATAAGTCTTAGTACAAAATGTAATATGCTAAGTTTTACAAAAATAGTGAAACTTAGATACAAAAATAGCAAAAAGATCTTCTAATCCATGCTAGGCCTATGGTGGAATGTCATCCACCACTTCATTCCCTTTTCCTAAAAAATGTTAAAATGAATGGGTGAGCATAAGCTCAGTAGGAAGTGCCTACGGCACACTTCTTAAGACCCCGTGAATCCACATAATGAATATGAATAAAGAAATTAGGATCATACCATACCGGGAAAAAAATATAACGACAATATATATACCATATCATCAATCCGATACCACAAATAAATATGCCGTGCAATGATATGTCGCGCCATGCAATGTCACTCCCCATTTTCCAAAATCATTTCCATAATCATTTTCAAAATGTTAGTGAACACGTCCCATAGCAACTCCATGGCGGTACGAGAGGAAGATTGGCCACTGTCCCTGACCCATAACAACTCCATGGCGTCATTTGGGGCCCAGGTAACTCAACCACACTAGGGCGATCTCCCTACTCCCCTCTAGGCCTCACTAACGCCGCGGTCCCTAGGCGACTCCTAGGCGGCTGGGTTTTTCACAAAAACCTTTTCAAAACCTTTCCCAAAAGCCCATTTCTTTCTTTCAAAACAACATTCCCCATTTCTTCCCAATGAAGTGCATGTATGTTTCATATTTTCATGCCATGCCAATATTTGTCAATACACATGTAATTTCAAACTCATGCCATTTTACATGCTTTACAAGAATTTCTAAGAAATTATAACATTACTTACATTCAACAATAAGCTAGCAGGATTTAATCATGTAAAACATGAATTCTATATCATTCAAGCATGCTATTACACATAATGTCAATTAAAACACATAGTCGTGTAATTCATTTAGAACAATTTAATCATTTACAAGAAGATCAACACAAAATAACATGCTAAGTAGCAAAATCAAAAAGGAAATTCACTAAGGTACAAGAAATTGTACATTAAGAACCCTTACCTCAAAGGAGGAAAAAAAACCCCAATTGTATGCCCTAAATTTCGAATTTCCTATAGTGCACCAATCAAGGAATTGCCCCTATCAACTTGTAAACCTCGCCGTGAGCTTCAATTTACCGCAAACGGCATTCAAAAATACCAAGTATTGAAGAAGGAATCAAGGATTGAAGCCTTGAAGTGAAAAAAAAATAAAAATAAAAATAAAAATCTAAGAGGAAGAGAGAAACAAACCAGGGGGGAGAGAGAGTGAGGAAACAGAGACCAAAATGTAGTCTTATAACCACTTAAAAAAAATTACCAGTCCCACAGCTAAAATAAAAAAATCCTCTTAACACACACACACATATAAAAACTCAAACATTACATTAAGTATACACCAAATTTCAGGAGAGGTCAAAATAATAAATCTTGAATTTTATTCATGTGTAATTTGCCCAATCAAAAAGGTCAGTATACTAAATTGCAACAGTTAGTTTACTTTTTCAAATCCTTAAATATTTTTTTTCTCCTGTCAGCGAGCTTACCAACTAAGCCACGGGTAAAATATAGTGTCACTTTAATGCCAATCTTTGACATGAACAAACTTTGTTCATTTGATCTTCCATACATTTTTATACTTTAGTTATTAAATCATTTGTTTTGTTTTTGGGATAAGCCAAAGCCAGAGAGAGACTAAACCAGTGAAAGGTAATTAATTAAAGAATAATTCAAACATAATAATTAACAAATTAAATACAACAGTAGGTAGATAAAAAAGAATTACAGTATATAATTCAATTCAATTATAGAAGTACATATATATAATTAAGAATGAAGATGTTGGATTGTTATATCTTGTTGAGCTTGGCAAGAAGGAAAACAGTGGCAGAAGTGACAAAGGGAATGAAGAATTCATTAGGAAGCGCTTTTGGGAAGACCCAATTTTTGATCCAAAGTGTAGTTACTGGAACTCCAAAGATGTAAGGCCACAGATCCTTAACTCCTAAACGTGACTCATGAATCACATCCTCCAGGATTTCCTTCCTCAATAGAGCGGCGATCCGTTTCTGAAATTAAATCCATCACACATATATGTAGTATTAATTAACACATCCACCTTCTCATTCTCAACCCATCTACCTATAATCAATTATAAATTTTCCATGCATATATATATATATATATATATATATATATAATGCAATCATCCCCCTCAAAATTCCTATTTGACCAGTAATACAAATTAATGCGCGAGATGATGATGAGGAAGAGGAGGATTGCCAAATTAAGGATGAGTTTATGTATGCTCACTTTAAATACTTCATTAAGTTTGTTGGTCTCTGGTGCACGATACTGCTTGGTACCGAGCTTTTTGTTAATTTCTCTGTCAACATATACGATGGAAATTAATCATCAACAGAAACAAACTAGTATCAGTATTAATTTATTTTCTTAATTGCAAAGAAAATTAAAAGTACTAGAATTAAGGTGAAAGAAATATAGTTAAAGCTGGCACTGACTCGACCGTCTGACATATTGCATAGTAGAATTCAGCTGAGCTCCAATCCTTCTTGTTGGCATTGGCGGCAAAGTGTGTTTGGTAGCAAAGGTCAATGGTGCGACCAATCTCCTTAGCCTTCTTTTCCTCACTTTCTGCAAAATGAAAAAGGAGAATAAAAAAATTGGAACTCCAAAGATGTAAAGCAATAGATCTTTAGCTCCTAAACCTGTCTCAAGAATCACATCCTTCAGGATTTCCTGAAATTCCTCCTTCCTCAATGGAGCGGCTTCTATCTGGTGCAGTTTCTGCAATTAAATGCATCACACATATATTAATTAACACATCCACATCCACCTTCTCATTCTCAACCTACCAACCTTTAATCAATTATATATTTTCCATGCATATATATATATATATGTGTGTGTGTGTGTGTGTGTGTGTATAATGCAATCATCCCCTCAAAATTTCTATTTGACCAGTAATACAAATTAAAGCGCGAGATGATGATGAGGAAGAGGAGGATTGCCAAATTAAGGATGAGTTTATGTATGCTCACTTTAAATACTTCCTTAAGTTTGTTGGTCTCTGGTACACGAAACTGCGTGGTACCGAGCTTTTTGTTAATTTCTCTGTCAACATATATGATGGAAATTAATCATCAACAAAAACAAGCCAGTATCAGTATTAATTTATTTTCTTAATTGCAAAGCAAAATTAAAAGTATTAGAAGGTGAAAGAAATTTAGTTAAAGCTAGCACAGACTCCACCGTCTGGCATACTGCATGGTAGAAGTCAGCTGAGCTCCAATCCTTCTTGTTGGCATTGGCGGCAAAGTATGTTTTGTAGCAACGGTCAATGGTGGGACCAATCTCCTTAGCCTTCTTTTCCTCACTTTCTGCAAAATGAAAAAGGAAAATAAAATAATTGGGTTTGTTTCTCCATTTGATCGAGCAAATAATTTGCAATCTCTAATATCCTATGAGTTACAGTATATATATATATATGTGTGTGTATATGAGCTACCAGGAGCTAGTTTCTTCAATGATTGGTCCATCAATCTTCTCCTTATTGGCAAATCAAGGTTGTAACAATAGTTGATTGTGGTGGCTAGCTGGTAGGGGCACAAGCACAATGGTACGTGGCCAAATTGAGCTTTAGGTGTTAAATATTCTGATACATGTTTATGGTGATCAAAACGAGGCGGCTTGTCTGGACGGAAGAGCATATTCCGTTTCCTTTGCAGCAGGCAAAGCTTTTCTATCAAAGACCTTTTGATGCTTAAGTTAGGAATTCAATTCCAAATTTTTTCCCGCGAATAAAGAATATGGAACATACTTGTGCAATTGAATGATTAACCAAAAAAAAATTTTGGTTGCGATCCCCACGCATTTCCAATGCAATTTTTTTTTTTTTTAAGTGATGGTATATTTAATTTGGTAAGTTTAAGGTATACTTAATATATATTCATAGATATATATTTTTCATTGCTTGTAGAAAAACAATTGTTGTTATATTTAATTTGGTGAGTTTACTAATTTCAAAGACAAATGCGAAAAACACTTCTAAAATATATTTTACGTAACACTTTTATTTCTATTTAAAAAAAATTATAAAAAAATACAGAAGAGGAAGGCTATAGGTAGTCGTCTTCTACCGTCATTACACGTGTCAGCAGCGGTTTTTGTTAATTTTTTTTTTTTTTTGTGTCTCGAGCCGGTCTCATTTTCTCTCTCCGCTCTCTTTATCTATCAGTCTCCGGCGTCTCCTTCACTCTCCGCTCTCTTTCTCTCTCTCTACTCACCCTCTCAGCCCAAAATCCATAATTGGAGCTCAAGTCTGTGTGCGGCGTGGAGAAAGAACCAAACCCATATAAGAAATTGTAGGAAAATCACGACCCAAAATCAATTGGCTTGAGTTTGAATCTTGGACGGATATTTTGGAAGAGAGACAAAAAAAGAAAAAAAAAATCAAATGATGCGGTGGTTGGTGGTTGGAGGTGGTGATTCGCCGGAGGGTGGTTTGCAGATCTGTTGGGATTCGGCAGACTCCTCGTCAACGGCTTCGGCGCAATTGTTGCAGTCCAGCACCACCAACTGAGTTTCCATATTACAAACACCATGGTGATGAGAGAGATTAGAGAGAGAGCCAAATATGGTGAGGCGAGGACCCGGAGACTTTCAGGTAGAGGGGGGGGACAAGACCTTTGTCGGGCGTGACCGCTGAAAAAAAAAAAAAAAAATCCAAAGTCTGCAGGCAATAGGCTGCTGACTGGAATTGGGTGTGCAAAAATACCCCTTAACAAAAAAAATCGGACATAAATTAATATTGTAATACTTACCTTGTCAAAAATTTTTACTTTTTCAAAAATACTCAAAGATATATATATTACCGATCTCATAATATAAGAATGTTATGTACACATGATTTTATATATATATATATATATATATATAACTTTTTTCTTTTTATATATCTCTAATCTCTTTCTTCTTTTTTTTTTGAAACTTTGAAAATTTATAAAACTATGAAAATTTTAAGATTTTAGTTTACTGTTTTTTTTTTTTTTTTTTTTTTTTTTTATCACAATATCAGTGCACTCTTTTTGGGAGTTTGGAGGAGATTTGTTTTCTTTAGTTTGTACTTTATTTTCATTTTTTATTTTTATTTTTTTTTTCTTTTTATTTTCTATCTTTACTTGTTCATTAGCGGCGTCCTCCAATAATATTATTTTCAGGTCATTTTACAATATAATTTATTTTTATATATATCTCTAATCTCTTCTCTTTTTTTTTTTTCTTTTCATACCAACATTATTAAACAAGAAAAAAAAATCACAACATCAATGCACTGTTTTTGGAAGTTTGGAGCACATTTATTTTCTTTAGTTAGTACTTTATTTTCATTTTTTATTTTTTATTTTTTATTTTTATCTTTATTTTTCTTTTTTTTTTTATTTTTTATCTTTACTTGTCTATTGTTAGAATTTAAATTTGTCGGAACTTATTTGCACTATATTAAAATCTTAAGAATATTTTTTACTCTAGTGTAATATGCTCCTAAATATATTATAAGAGTATTTTCTGCTCTCCACACATTCTCAATATATAAACTCATCCGTTACGCATAGATATATAAAATACTCTGGAACCATCCTGGAGCATCTGTGTCGCATTTGGTTTAAGTGAAGGTGCGTTGACGTGAACATGTCTGTCGCAGACTCGCATTTGTTTTTTCCTATGGCGGCATGTATGGGAATTGGTACCACAGCCAGGTGGGCAGCGGAGGATTTTGTTGTATTTACTCACATAACAACAAAAAAAGTGACTACTCATATCTTTTCATTTAACTACAACCCACCCAAAACTATGCAATATCAACGCGCCACTCTTGCCCGTTAAATTACTGTCTACTTTTTATTAAAATATTATTATTATTTTTTTTTGGAATGTATTAAAATAAAAAATTAAATGTGTAACTTTTTAATAAATAAATCAAAAGTGTAAAATAAAAAATATAAAAAATAACTCAAAATACTGCGCATGTAACAAATAAGGAAGTGTAATTTTCTAATAACTAACTAAAATTATTTAGTTGAAAATTCAATATATCACTACACTATGCAGTGAGATGAGTTTATAATTCCAAGATGAAGAAAGTGTGATGGCTATAAATCTATAAGCATCTAAACATGTGATGGATTTCATTTGCTATTATTTGATTATCATCAATCAACTCATTGGGCGGCTTTCCATAACCACGTGGTGGTTTTGATGGCTTTCAAGCAATCCTCCATTGATGCAAGACCCAAACCGGTTCTTGAACGATTGGGCTCTCAATTCTTCTAGCCCTAGTTTGTGGCCCCCAATCTTATCAGCGTAGCCTACACCTCACCTATCTTATCCGTCGAGAGAAGATTGACTGAGATAAATCATTAATTGTAGATTATCATTAACAGAACATTTTGATGAGATCATGTAGGTTATCAAATGAAGGGCAACTATACGCATGGAGTTTAAATAAAGAAAAGGTTATAATAGTACATTCAATTTTTATGTGAAAAAACAAATTGTCATTAATTTTGACAAGAGTGTTGAAGCAATTTTAGTACAGATTTAATCTACAAGCAATAAAAATATGCATAGTGTCACAATATTTAACCCAAAACTTAATTCCCTCCATCTTACTTCAATCAATTCGATCATATTACACTTTATTTTTATTATTATAACACTTCCTCTCCCTTCATCTTATATTAATTGTTTATTTTTTTATTTATAACTTATTAAGGAAATGTGTATTTAATGCATTGTCTCTTTCTAAATTATTAAATTATCTTATTAAAATTTAAATATATATATATATATAGTTATAGAATGATAGTAGTATTTATTTTGTTTCACATTTTAAATTAGACGGGCAAATAGCAATACGTTAGATAATTAATTGGATGCTAAAATCAGTGACAATTGATAAATGAGCCGGTTCCACTCGCATCTTATAGGCGCGTTTGGATGTCCATTTGTGTTTGAATGGCCACGTTATACTACGAGTAAAGCCTGGTGGTTCTCTTGCATTCGTAGCCACTCGGCACCGCCAAAAAATCTCAAACAAACAGCGTTCCGCCCCTAATTAAATTCACGCACTCTCTCTCTATATATACACGTACATGTAGTATATATGCATTGGCTTTTCATTAGGTCATTTGATTCTCTCTCTACGTCTGTATTAATTAATTAATTAGTAGCGCTTTTGCCATTCAACCGTAGGTGCCATGGCCGAGAAGAAAGATCCAGAGTTTTTCTTGGAGAATGAAGAAGACGGTGTCGATGCAGAAGGTAAGAAAACCTATGGTAGTGGTAGTGATGAAGAAGTTGGAGAAGATGATAGTGAGCGAGGGCAAAAATCGCCGCCTTATTCGCTTTTCTCTTCTCAGCAATGGCCTCAGAGTTACAGGTTAGGCTCTACTATTTTCTTGCCTCTACTCCCATCAATTATGCTCGTGCTTGATTGCTGAGAAAACCAGCCAGGAAATAAAAGAAAAGAAAACGTTTTCTGATTCTTTTGTTTCCTACAGCAATATTGAACCCAAACCAACGTAACTAATTAAAGATTATCTGGCTATTAATTATTTGACCAAGTGAAGAATTTAGTTTGGAAGCTAACAAGCTTTGAATTTTGTTAATTGATTTTCCTCAATTTTCTTGGCATCTAAATAGAGCCTATATATTGGCAAAATACATAAAATTTCCGCACAATATCTTATATATACAAGTATTATAAAGGTTTGGATATTGTTACATCAGACAGTTCACATGTTTGAAATTATGCTTCCATGGATTTATATAACAAAAACCATGTTTTTGGAGCCTATATATATATATATATATATATATATATAGTCAACAATTGATGTCTGTTAATAAGCTAACAATACAATCACGTTTGTGACTTTGTGTATTCATGGCGGATGCAAGCTCTTACACTTGACTGAGATGAGACTTCCTTGTGGTGATGATAACTTCAGTATTTAAGCTCCTCGTTGGATAGGGTCACTTAAAAAGAATGTTAGTTGCTCATCATTTTTATTTTTTTTTCCCTGGCAGGGAGGCGACTGATTCTTATACAATTACGGCATCACCAGTTTTTGGAGCCCTCCGATGGGCATCTGGTATCAGTAATAAAAGTAACATAGATTTGGAGACAAAAACTCCACTGCTGTCTGAAAATGAAAAGATCTATCAAAGAGAAGACTTGGACAGGATCTCAAGAATGCAGTCATCATGGTCGGAGAAGGCTTCATTGACTGAGAAACTCACTGGAGAACTCCCAACTAGCAATGGTTGTAGTCTCACTCAAACTATATTCAATGGTAAGCAATGCCATACATGACAATCATGTAAGACGATTTCTTTAGTACAAGGACACTATTTACTGATGGCTATTGCGCGATGGTGGAGATATTGTATTGCTTCAAAATTATTGCTTGAAAAAATGTAAAATTGGTGATTCAAAAAAATCTGTAAAAATGCAGAAAGATGTTAAATGAAACAAGTTATTGAGTAGAAATAAAAAGTTTATACTTCTTGCTGGTTAATTTTTGTAATTCCTTTTCAATATCTTTTGCTAGAAGTTTTGGAATTGCAAAAGAAAGGCCTGCTTTTGCTTGGAAATTTCTTAATTTGTTGAAACTATCAAGAATGACATGTTGCTGTTTGTACTTTGGGCTTTCCTTCTTGTCCAAATTATTATCTTAGTTGCTAAGTTTTGGTTGATTTTAAGAGGTTACTTTTTTATGTGACAGGGATAAATGTAATGGCTGGAGTTGGGCTTCTTTCTACGCCTTGTACGGTGAAAGATGCTGGTTGGGCAAGCTTGGCAGTGCTAGTTCTTTTTGCAATCGTTTGTTGTTATACTACTTCTCTTATGAGATATTGCCTTGAGAGCAAAGAAGGCATCGTAACATACCCAGATATTGGAGAAGCCGCATTTGGTAGATATGGACGCCTTATAGTATCTGTAAGTTGATATAGCTTCAAATTGCAGCACTTGTCTTGTATTTAGTACCAACATTGCACTAGTCTGCAGCCTAAGAGAACTTCTTTAGGATATTGCTGAAACATGGTTGTGAAGACATGATGTTCTATCTTATTCAAACCTTGGGTTAAGTTGTAAACACTTTTTCTGCTGCATTTTACCAATTCTAGTTACATTGACCACCAAGGGCTGTAGCCTAATGGTATCTTCTCTACCTCTCAAAGTGGAAGGTGAAGGATCAAGTCACCGTAGGCGTAAAAGAGTGTGTGAGATTCTTGCCAAGGAAAAAAAATCAAAAACAAGATCTTGTTAGTTTGGTTGATAATCAAATGATACCAGTTCATGCTCATGTCTGGGTCAATTGTACAACAATAAAGTTGATAATTGATTGTTTTCACTTTCAGTGTGATTTACAATCTGGCTCCATATGTTAAATGTTTTATGAAGTACATCAATTTTGGGAATGAAAGAAGAATGGTACATATTATTCTGCAAGGCTATAAACACCCCCCATTCCCCTTCTCTCCTCTAAATAAAAAGTCAAAAGGAAATGAGCGAATATTGCATATGCATAGCCATAGCGTAGCTATTCTGCTCTTTTAAGTGATTTTTTATTCTATCTTTGCTGATGCTATTATACTATTGTTCTTGGTGCAGATCCTTTTGTACACAGAGTTATATGTAAGTGGAGCACTGACTTTTTATTTCACAGATTACTTGGACCATATTTGATTCTCAAGTGGATTCCTTACATTTATTTTTGATGTGTGCAGTCATATTGTGTGGAATTTATTATTTTGGAAGGGGATAATCTTACCAGGCTATTTCCTGGAACGTCCTTGAATTGGTCTGGTTTTCAATTGGACCCCATGCACTTCTTTGGGATTCTCACTGCCCTCATTGTTCTACCAACAGTTTGGCTGAGGGATATTCGAGTGATATCTTACCTTTCAGGTGTTTTTAGATTGCTTCTGTCTAGTGCCTCCATTGTAATGTTAATGTTTAACCTACTAAAAGATAAGTGATTTGAGTTGAATCTCATCTGCTTATGTATTATACAACTTGCAGCTGGTGGGGTCATTGCAACGATTGTGATTCTCCTTTGTGTGCTTATCCTCGGTACAACAGAAGGAATTGGATTTCATCAAACTGGTCAAGTAGTAAACTGGAATGGTATTCCTTTTGCCATTGGAGTGTACGGCTTTTGCTTTTCTGGGCCTTCTGTGTTCCCAAATATTTACCAATCAATGGCTGATAAAACAAAATTTAGCAAGGCACTGATAATATGGTACAATTTCTTTGTTGATGTAGCATACACGTATCACTTTTCTGCATGACACTGATAATCATCATCCTTGCCTTAATCCCATATGAATGACATTGATAATATTGAACAAAATCTTTGTTATGATATAGATTCACATTTAACTTGACTTCTCTCTTAAATGCATTGCACTTTCTTGTTGTGCAGTTTTCTTTTGTGTGTTATAATATATGGAGGAATTGCAATCATGGGATTTCTTATGTTTGGTGAAGGCACGTTGTCCCAGATAACTTTGAATCTGCCACCACATGCCATTACTTCCAAAGTTGCATTGTGGACTACGGTAAGTATCAAGATCTGGATCTTGCACATTGGGTATGCCTGTGTGAGTGAGTGGGTGACTTAGTCTAATTTTTGGGAACGTGGGTACGTTGGGGTGCTTGTTTTTCTTTTTCCTATTTATTCCTTTAAGCGGTGGTGGGTAGGGGGTTTGTTAATATTTGGGTGCGTTCTCTGCTTTTCGTTCTTGGTTTTTATTGTATTTTCGTTTCTTTTTTCTACAGGTTATCAACCCATTCACTAAATATCCTTTTTGCAGTAAATTCTCAAGTTAAGAAAGTTCAATTATTGGCATAGGTTTAACTTGTTTTTCCAATTTTTCTGTATTTGCGTCCTTGACATTGCACAAATATGCGCTGCTGATGAACCCATTAGCCAGGAGTATAGAGGAACTGCTGCCTCCCGGAGTTTCTAATAGTCTTTGGTGTTTCATTCTTCTAAGGGCGACACTTGTTATTTCTACCGTTTGTGTTGCATTCCTTCTTCCTTTTTTTGGTACGTAACGGTTTACTTACTGTTTATCTCAATATTATCATTGTTCACAAACTCATATATATTATTTATGCTAATTCTTATGTTTGTTTGAAATAAGCAAATTTTAAGAGAAAATATCCTATAATAATTGACTACATTAGCATACAACATCCACCTTAAAGTGCATTTTGAGTCAAAGGGAATGGTTTAGGATCTCTTTCTTGCCAAAATTATAGAAGAGTTTATAAACTGATGTCTTGTGAAATAAATAATTAACTAAGCAAATATAAGCTAAAGAACCCCTTTAAGCTTGCATAAAAGTCAAAATTAATTAATCTATCTTGTAAAAGTAGCCATATATTGTTCATGTGAATTGAATTAATGACTTAACCAATTACTGTTATGCAAAAATTTGCAATTATAATTAAGAGATTCTTAGTCATTTTTCTCTGGATGATCTTACTAGGATTAGTTCTTAGTCAAGTACTTCTTCTATCTACTTTACATGAGCTAATTTAGGCTTATTAAAGTTTGTACGGTGGTTTCAATTTCCAATTATGACAGAATACAGATACATTAATATAACTAAAATCTTGAACCTGCTTGCAATTTGTTTCAGTTTTCCCTTCTCCTTTTCCTTTTTTTTTTTTTTTTTTTTTTTTCCCCTTTTCTTATTGAAGTTTTCAAATTAATTGCAGGTTTTCAGAAGATAGTATCATAGAGCTGTACTAGAAATGTTTAATTATCAGAATGTCACTTGCCTAATTGCTCATCTTCATTTTTCTTCTAGTTGTGGGAGCTTGATATACATTTTTGTGCCTAGTCGTTAATCGTTTAAGTCTCTTGGGGCGATTGGTAGTCTAACATGGAATCAGAGCCTTGGTTTAAGGAGATCTTGAATTCAATTATCCATGTTTGCATATGTTCTCTGTTGTCTCTGTATTTGCACTCTCTGTATTCTGTCTGCCTCTCCATGTACAAGATGGGGCCAAAAGTGTTTGAGGGTGGAAGTTTGGACCCATTCCTTAATAGTTAAGGTTTTAGGATAGTTTGTAGTCTAAGAGTAGCTTCATCAGCTTCAGAATGAAAGAGGAACTGAGTGGACTGAACTTTTTCTTCTGTTGCAGGTCTTGTGATGGCTTTAATTGGTTCTCTTCTTAGTATACTTGTGGTAAGCATCACTTCCCCTGAGTTAAATGCTTTCTGATTGGCATAGCTGCATGTAAAAGCTTTATCTGGATGTAATTGACCATGCATGCTTTCCCTGCAAGAAGTGGTCATTGTCTTATTGGTTACTGAAAACTAAAGCATCTGCTTAAATCTGCTCACTTTGATTGACAAAAAAATCTAACGATGGTATGAATCATGCATTTAGTATTTACTGATAAATATGTTCCTATAAGAAAGATGAAAATTAATATGGTCCTAGAATGTGCGCAGAAACATTGTTGACTATTTTATATATGCATTTTGTTTCCTTACGGACTTGTTGATTTTTTGTTAAAATAATGCCAAAGGTTAGGTATGTCGGCCTTTTTGTGCAGATAACACCAAAGCTCAGGTTTGTAACTTTGTATTCCCTCGATTAATGGATACCACACTGGTGCCCTTCTTTGCGTACCTCCTCTAAAATAGTTTCTCATCCATGGAACACAAAAAGTGAAGAAATGAAAAGAAAATTATTGGCATATTCAGACTATATCTCATAATGGAATTTTATGGCAAAATAGACTGTTGTGTCTAATGTACAAATCTGTGATTCGGAACATATACTGCTGTGCTCATCTCTACTGGAACGTGGTGTTTTCCGATGACTTTGTGTTACATCACATCCTTCCTGACCTACTTGCCTGCATTCTTCTGGGACACGAGGCTTTCTTGAGCTTATAACCTTGTAACATTACTGTCACTTGCTAGGCTATTGCAGGGGCCATTGCACCAAGCAATGGTAGAAATGTGGGTTTCCCAGATAAGAACACGGGTTTGTGTATGAAGTTTGTCACTTCATGCAAAACATACCAAAGGTTGTTCCCAGGTTTTACCTAGCAGCATGTTGCATTGGCAGAATCAACAATGGGTAAAGATAAATAAGGTGACGATAGGATCATGGTCCATGTTTCACTTGTTAAGAACTGGATGTGATTGTTGAATATAAATGATTTGCAACTGCTGAATGCACTTTAAGTGAAGAATCCATCTTACTCATAAAAAGGTGGCAGACCAACCTGGCCATGCTTTACCCCCTCCCCTTTGCTCTTTTTGGGAAGCAGTTCTTAGAAAATCCACTTATTAGAACAGATAGGTGAATAACCGAGTGTAGTTAGATCTTAGAGATGGACCAGTGGTTAGTAAGTTAAGACCTCATTTTGAAATTTGATGACTTATCTCCTACTTTTTAAATGTTTGATGACAGACAATTTCATTTCTTAAAAATGAGGTGACATGTTTTCAGAAAATGTTGCACTCGCATAAGCAAGTTCGTACTTTTCAACGTAACTTTAATTCCATGAGGGGAAAGAAAATACTAAATTGTTTCTTTTAAGAAACTCAGAAAAAAAAAATGTGCTAAACTACTATTTTGCCTTTGATATATTTGTTTCACTAATACTGTTATCATGTCGAGTTTGTAAACTACATTGTTCGTAAAGATTGTACATCCTTGCTATCATCCAGTAAAATATAAGCTTTGTCAGTGGTGATTTTTCTTTGGTATGTTTTGTCAGTTTTTGTTTCTTTCTTCTTTCAGTCTCTTTCTTATTTTAAAAATATTATGAAGAATTCTCTGTGGAATTAGACGTCTTGATATATGATGCATTTGGCCCCTGATTCAGGCAGTAATTATGCCAACTTTATGTTTCCTGAGTATTGTTCAGAGGAAGGCTACAAGAATGCAGGTACGCTGTGCTTAATCTAGTGTTGCTTCGTATTTTGCAGTAATTAGACCCTTTCTCCTTTAATTTGAGAAGGAGAATAGGAAAACTGAGAGATGAATGGAAAAAAAAAAATATCAAATCTTGGGTTAGTGTCAGACAACTATTTTCTCATCACATACTACTAAGATTACAGGAAACCTGTTGGCAAGATTTCAAGGTGCTAATCTATATCCAATATTTACTCAAAAAAAAAAAGATTTCAAGGTTATGTATTTTTTGCGATGGGAATCGTTTTCTTGAAAATTTACAGAATTCTGCTACCTTGTTGAATGTTTTCTTTAGTCCAATCCACATAGACTGTTAAAAAAATACTTAATGTTTTGTGTCAATGAAGTCAAAAAGTGTAATGCAAAATGTCATATGCTCCCTGCTAGATCTACTAGTTAGACATATTTTGGCCTCTTTATTAACATGTTTTCTCACATATTCAGATTTTTTTGAGCATTGCAATTTTGGCGTTGGGCATCATCAGTGCAGTGCTGGGAACATACTCTTCCTTGTTAGAAATTGCAAAGAACTACTGAGATTTTCAAGTACTTCAAAACATGGCAATTTTTGTTAAGTCTCACGATCCGTGTGCTACTACTGTTACTGTTATTGTTTTGCACCTTTCCATTGTTTAAACTAGTTAGAGGGATAAACCCCCCCAATATATTGCTTTTATCGGGAAAAAACTATTTTGGATGTCAACTCTCATTTCTTTATGTTTTTTACCCTTGATCGGAAAAATTGTATTGAACCCATATTAGTTGTCCTTATGGACCATATATAACTAACGCCAATTTTGTTCTATAGGCAAAGAAGATGGGCATGCAATATGCAGTTTGATGCTCTCATTAATCATTGTAGCTGTAAATCCCGTCAAGGTTTTCTGTTGTCAATTGTTGTGATCAATTCCAAGCATATTACAACGAATTTATATATTGATAGAATTTCATTCACATATTAGTGGATGGGTTATAAAAGAAAAGGAAAAATTGTCATTCATCAAATGTTTTTAACCATATTGCTGATAAACATGCTCCATCCCGTGAGAATGGGGTTATAGAGTAGCATATAATGGGTTCCATACCCAATTTAATCAGTAAAATGTCTCAAATTTATTAAAGAATTGATTGGCAAACTAACTCCAAAATCATAAAGATCTAGGAATGTACCCAAAGATTAATGTTAAATACTATCTCCGTACTAATATTTATCTATATATATTTGTAAAATTATAAATTGAACCTTTTTGAACTTATTAAAAGTATAAACATCACATTCATCCGAACCCAACATGAATAGATTTGATAATTCATTCTATGTTAATAAAATAAAATAAATACGAAAATCCATCTTAAAATAGATTCATGTGAACCCACTATAAAATAGATTTGATAATTCATTCAAGTGGTCGATTTGCATAGAGAGATGACAGAGAGCGGTAGAAGGAGATAAGACCGTAGTAGGGTTTTAAACAATAATGGAAGTTCTGTGCTTTTTTAAGTGGCCCAGAGTTCTCCGTGTTTTGTAAGTTCCCAAAACCGAGTTCCAAAATTCACAAAACATCTTTTAAGGGTCTGTTTAGTTAATCAAAATTTGATGGTGGAAAGTGAAGTAAATGAAAAGAAAATTTAGTTTTTATTATGCATTTGGTTAGCATGAATTTTTTTAACGAAAATTATGAAAAAATATTATTTTATTAGTTTGGATGGCAGGAAAGTGAAAAGAAAATGATTTTATATACCAAAACTACCCTTGCTAATTTAATATAAATAATATACATAGCATAAAAAAATATATAAGATTGGGTTATGAATAAAAAAACATATCTATATATATATATGTCCAAATACAAATTTGGTAATTGAATAGTTTTTTATTTATTTTATTTATTTTTAATTTTTATTTTAAGGTTGCAATATATATTAGGACTCTACTATTATATTAGATTAGTTCACTTCTTTTGTGAGTGTGGAAAAAAGTCCTAATTTTAAAAATTATAAAGCTGTAACCTAATAACAAAATTCTAATATATCGATGAAGAAAGAGATGAATAAATAAACAATTAATAAAGGCATAATAGGAAATTAAAATATAATTATACAACTTTCACGGGAAACTAGATTTTTCCCGTGTTTTTTTGGAGAAAACATTTAAATCAACTAGTTGCGAAAATATTACTTTCCTGAAAATTTTTCTTTTCACGCTAACCAAACTGTTAAAAAATTTAAAAATTTTCTACTTCTTTTCCTTCTTGCTAATACACGCTAACCAAACTAACCTTAAATGTTCTCTAAAATCTCATACTAACTCAGTTTTTCAAAAACTGTTCTTCAAAAACAGCACCAACCAATATAAAAATGTGTTTTCCGAATTTTTGCTAACCCACCAAACTTATTTACTACATCCATGTCGAATATGCACTCATAATAGACTAAAGAACTTGACAAATTATAGTTAATGGGAAGTTTGGGAATAAAAATAGAAAATCAGAAACACAGTCTACCAAAAAGCAAAAAATAAAACTTTGAGATGAAAAAAAAAAAGGTATTGTTTGATAAAACAAAAAAATTAAAATACCAAAAATTTAGAAATTTTAAGGTGGTAATTAAAAATTAATATTTTTTTAATTTTTAATTTTTAATATTCAGTGACAAGTAATAACTCCATCACTTAAAAATTTATTTAATTTTAAATAATACTTATTAGTTTCAGTGATTATACATACTTAATTGAATAAGCAGGTGTTATTTGGTTTAAAACATGTGTTTAGGGCTTTATAGGCAACCTTTAAAAGGGTTGTCACCGACCAACTTGACTTCTTCCCTAACCAAACCCAATTTTCCGTTCCACGCGGGTAGTCCAGGCCAAAACCCTCCCTTTCACTCTCTACAACTCTTGGGTTTTCTCTCTACAACAAAAAGGAAAGGAAAAGAAAAGAAAAGAAAAGAAAAGAAAAGGGCCTGGTTGGGATCTCCGTTGGCTTCTTCTTCGTCCTTGACCACTGATCGATGTCGCTGAGTTAACACTTTTTTGAGGAGAAATCTGTTGGTGTGGTCGAAGAAATCGAACATTGGCGGTGTAGCATTCACCAGCAGAAAAGAAAACAGCATGATAAAGTCTTTCCAGTTCCAAGTTGAAACTTAAGAAATGTCTGAATTGGTAGCCCGCACTGGTCGTCATCAGCAGCGCTATGAGAAAGGTTGCCGTCTCGTCGCCGGGTAATCATATAGTGCGTGTGTGTGTATATATATATCTTTTTAACTTTTTTTCATTTTTTTTTTTTTTAATTATATACCAATGCAGTCTTGCGCTAAAATTTTGGGTTACTGATAATGTGCATCGGTCGTTTTCTTGGCAATACATAGAATTTTCTTTTAGTTTGGATTTCACCATTTAGTTCTCGTCTGATAGAATTATCTTTAGGTTTTATCTGTTTAATGCTTTGTTCGGTGGTAAAGAAAAAATTTGGATGGAAGGGTGAGAAGGAAATTTTATTTTATTTTTTTCTGTTGGATGACAGAGAAGAGAACAAGCTCACTTAAAATAGAAAAAAAGAGAAAATTTTAAATTATTTTAATATTGTAATTTATAATATTTATAAATATTATAATTCATAGAGAATAGTACTAAATTTAAAATTTTTATACTTTATGATATTCCCTTTGTCTCAAAATAAGTATCCTTAAATACATTTAATTTAAAACTTCTATAATAGCCCATTTGTCTTCCCTCCTCCTCTGCACATGTTTTGATGGATGAAAATTTGTAAAGGAGGAAGGATAATCATCCCTCCTATTATCCTTTATTTATTTGTATCATCTTTACCGAAATAAAGAAGTTTGTTCCTTTCTTCTTATTTTCTCTCTGCACATTTTCTTTCCTTCTTACCGAACGAAGAAAGTTTGTTCATTCCTTTCTATTTTCTCTCTACACCTCTTATTTCCTTTCTGCCGAACAAAGCATAAATGTTATTCGGAAAGAAGGAAGGGCAAAACGTGGAAAGCATGGTCGAGATTTCTCTTCTTGTTATATATTTCTATTTATTAATTTCATTTGTTTTTTGGGTGGGGTGTTAGTATATAAATATTTCTACCCAAATGTGTCCTGGAATATTGGAAGTAGTTTAGAGAATGTAGTGTTTGGAAAGCAAGAGATGCACTTAGGTAATTTCATGAAAGGTAAAAATGATAGAGATATGCCATCTCTCTTGGTATATTGTTGATTTGCAACTTTGCATTATGTATATTTTGCATTATGTATATATGTATTTTTTTTTTATTTTTTATAATGTATATATCTATAGTTACATAAATATGCTTTTACTTTTTTCCTGTGAGAGGTTATTTATTACTATTAATATTTTTATTATTTTTTAATGTGATCTCATTATAAAAAAAAAAATTAAATTTTAAAATCAAATGTGTATTGTTTCAGAATGGCAAAAACAAAAGGAATAACTGAATTTCTTTGTGAATTGGTTTACCTTTATCCATTTTAAAGCACATTATATTGGAAATCAATTTTCGGCCCATGTTTTCTCAGAAATATGAGAAATTAGACAGTGATCTCAATGGGCCAGATATATGCCTGGCAGAAGTGTTCTGGAAATATCATTACGATCAAACAACTCTGTGGTTGTATGGCACTCAAGAACAAATGAATGTCAAACTGCGATGCCATTATGTGGTCAAGTCATCTTGTTTGAGTGTTAGTGTGACAAAGTTGGTCGTAGATACTTAATATTGGATTCGATAATATTTATTAAAACCTTAATGTTGCACTCTTTGGTCCTCATTCCTCACTACTTAATACAATTGTACTGCACAGTTGTGTGTAGCTTGAAAATTTGTGCATTCATATTTGAGTTGTTTTACATGTCACTCTCTAGCCAGGTCATCAAGTTTGCCATTGTATGCACAATAAAGAAAAATTGAAGGGACCATTATTAAGGGTTGTCCCCAGGCATCCACGGGACTTGGCAAATGACTAATTACTTGCTTAACGTCTGGCTCTATTTGAAGAGCCCCTCTGCGTCGTTTTCAGATTTTTTATTTTTTTTAAAAAAAATTCTAAATTTTGTGGATAATTGAATTGTCATTTACAAATTCCAAAAAAAAAAAAAATTGTCATTTACTCTGACCAAGACTTTTTGGGGATGGTTCCTTCCTAGGGCTCAGTGAGTAACTTTATGACATGTAGAGTCTTTTGACTCTTTTTGTTTTTGATGATGATGATGATGAGCTGATTGACAGTAATTTTCAGATACAAATATATCAAGTATCACCTCTAACCTCTCACTTGGATGGTCACTGGCAGGTGTATTCCTTTCAAATATTTCCATTCAGATGCCACAGCTGAGAAGATTGTTGAGGTACTAATGATCAACTCAACTAGTGGACCGGGTCTCCTGTTTCCAAAGGTACAAATTGTGAATGTTGTAATTTTAAAGTTATGTTTAAATGTATGTTGTTATATGTTAGTCGCTGCTTCCATGATCTGAATTTTTAGACACCGGATAATGTTTTATTCAGAAACATAATATGTAGATTACAAATAAAATTGCACTCTAGAAGCTTTTCTCCATGTCATCAGGACGCTATCTTTATACTTAACACCCACACCCCTTTGAGCACCAGAAAATGAAAATTTTCACATTGCTTATGGAAAATCTGAAATTTGTAGAGTTACCCCCTTGGAAAGGACAGAGGATGACCAAGATATACAATACATTCGCTTATGATTGCAGATCTGGGCTTTTAACTATGCTAAGGGGAGGTGTTAGGCATCAATCCAATTAACTTCGATGGAAAAATGACTTGACAAGTTGAAAAAACGTAGGGATGGTAAGGTTCCCGACTAGGAAGAGTTATCAGCAGACTTGGATGCAGATTCTTTAATTTTCTAATCTTTTAGGGTTGCATTTGGCTGCTTTTTAAAAGACAAAGTGAGTATGGGAGTCAGTTGCCAAGAGAGCCAAAGAATGGTAACTGCTTAGGCCTGGCTACTAATTTGGGAGAGGCAACTGGTTTCTTGTCACACACACCCTCCCTCCTCTCCTCTCTTCCCCTTCTTCTCTTTTTTTGGTTTTCTTTTTCTTCTTTTTTATTTATTTATTTATTTTTTTTTTCTTAGTTGGTGCTCACACACGCATGCCTCCACTAAGGCTGAACCCTTGATCTCTCTTTGAGAAGTAGGGCCACTGCCTGTTGGTGGTTCTCTTTTTCTTCTTCTTCTTCGAGTTTCGCTGGCTCAAACTTAGAAAAAATGTGAAGAGATGTTCTCTAGACTATAAAATGGAAAGCATGATTATCATTGGTTAACAGGCTTGTGATCTTAGAACTAATTATCACCATAGCATATTGCAAATCATGTGAAGCTATACCAAAGACTGGTTCCTCCTTTATGGGGTAGTAACTGCAGTAGATAATAGGTATTTTGTTTGGATCCATTTGTGGTGTGGTTCAGTTTCTTTTCAAGTAGCTTATCCAGATTTTTAAAGTACAGCAATAAGGTAGGAGCCTTCAGTAAGTGCACATCTATCTCAGTTAGAGTTACGAATTTTTATGGGCTACACATGTATATACGAGAGTTTGCCAATCCAAAGAGAACTCATTGTGGAGTGCTTTATTTGTCTTGATTATCTGTTTCATTTGTAGAGAGAATCAAGAACATCTTTGAATTTGTTAAGAACAGAAAGCATAAGGTTGATTTTAGAGTTGACAATTAAGTAGCTTCTTCTGACCTTACTTTCCATAATTGAAGATAAGTATCTTTGACTTCCATAGTTGGCAGCCTAGGGCAGTAGCTTAGATGCATATGTTTGAAAGTAGACTAAATTCTAATCGTAATGTGAATGTTAAAAGTTATATGGGTCTCAATGTCGGCATTTTATAGTTCCATTTATAAATTTTGAAATCAAAAAGTGATTTGGCTCGGCTAAAAGGGTCCAAGAAGTTTCTTGCTACATATTTGTATCCATTTGTTCTCTGTTTCTGCACCTGGGTGTATTTATCTGCAATGCACCATTTTCATCAATTTGACTTTTGGTCTATAAATAAATCTTGTTTTAGGATTTCCAGTACTTCTATGCATTTACAGTGCATAGAGAAGTTTCCAATGATTGAGGGATTTCTCTTCTGCATTTGGCATATTAGACCGATGTCTGGAAGCATGTGAATCTCATTCCCTTCATTTTTTTTGTGATCAGTGGGATGGCAACTTTTTGAATAATCGTACATTACCTCTTCATATTCTGACAAAAACTTTACAGTTTCATGTTCAGAAGTTACTAATTTAGGCATTAATCGTATTTCAAACTTCATTGATTGCTATGTTACTTATATGAAGAGAGGAAATATATTATCTCCATGTTCTGTTCTGTGTTTAACATTGTCTATGCCAGTTGAGTTACACATGCAATGATATTGTGTGGTGTCATGTATAACATTATTAATCCCACAGTTTTAGCCAACCTGTTCTTTGTGCCTTTTTTATTCACTCATACTTTGAAAAAAGTTCGTAATCTTCTATTCAAGATTAAGACAAGAAAGGCACATTTGTTTAGATTTAGACAGCAAGTTTAATTTCCTTTTAGTAGAAAAACTCTCCATAAGCTTGCATACACCACTACGCAGAATAAAACACATGCATCTATATATGTATGTTCATAACATTGGAATTTAATTTATTTTTTTTATTTTTTATTTTTGTTTGGATTTCAGTTCAAATCCTATAATGAGATAGGTGCAGCTGTGATTTACTTAACATGCAGTGCAATGTTGATTTATAAGAATATAAATGGTAGACATTGATTTGTGAGACATATTGTTATCATTTTCTTTTTATATATATATATTCTCAAAAAATATTATAGAAACAAAGATACTAAAATGATATCTTTAGTCATGACTTTGATTTTTTGATTTATTACAGGGTGGATGGGAAAATGATGAAAGTGTCCAGGAGGCAGCAGCTCGTGAAGCTTTAGAAGAGGCTGGAGTTAAAGGAGATTTAGTGGTGAGAATTAAAAAAGTCCTTTTCACGCCTGTTTTTAGTGATATTCTGAAAATTTCATATAATTTTATGGTAAATACTATGATTAGTACTTTTGCAAAGGATGTGTTGTGAATTATCAATTTAGTCATGTTTGTTCCTCACTGTAGTTTCAAAAGGCTTTTATCGAGTTTCATTTTTCAAGGCTTGCCATATAGTGAGGTTTAATGGCTTGCAGCTCCAAAAATTATGCGAGTTTTGTGTGTGTGTGTGTGTGTGTGTGTGTGTGTGTGTGTTAGGCATACACCTTATGAGCGAAGGAGTCAACATTGCACTTTTTGGCACTCCACACTCCGTTATGCTTCAACTTATAAGGTGTACACCTCATGTGCCTTGAGGTGTAACTTTTTACTGTGATGTTTTAAGTGACCAACCATTGGTCTTTTGTTCTTTGGTTATATAGAATCAATTTATAACCAATATGTTTTTACACGCTCAAGTACACATGCTGTCATATGCTATGTTACCTTGACTCACCACTTTACCCTAATGTGTCCATGTGAATGCAACATGACACGAACACGAACACAGGTATGGATTCGACTCTTTGTCTGAACAAGAGAAGATGAAGTGGAAGAGGAAGGGAAAGAAAGGAATAAATACTAACCATTTCATGCAATCCGTCTTTGTTGAAGCCAATAACATTGCTGGTGAAGGTTTTCTTCTTGAAGCTCATCTTTGCCAAGTCAAAAAAAAAAAAGGTTGTTGGAACAACTTATTCAAGATTTTTCAGTCTATAATCGAGTTGCTAGGGATATCCCCTTGTGAGAAGTCCTAAATCGTTTTCTATATAACCTTAAAAAGTTAATGGTTTTAATTTTACCCCAATTCTTTTGGTAATTTTACAATTACGTCAATAATAATACTTATTCTAATAATTTCCGTAATTTAAATTTTCTTTCAAATTTGCCCTTTTTCTTAGCTTATCATTTTAATATTTCCAATTATTTCAGGGACTCCTTGACACTTCCGCGTGTCCTAAATTTTGAGGAGTAGAAGAATCTGGTGCATAGACATGCACTCACATCCGACACCCGTACCCGAGTGCGGGTAATATATATCTTATATGACATAATGATATATAATAGTCATGCTACATATAATTATATACACTAATTATATTTTAAATTGTAAAATGCAACAATTTTTCTTAATTGAACCGTTAGTTTGCTATTTCTTTAATTGATGATTGATCATCAAAATCAATTCCTTGTTTAACTTAACTATGCTAATATACTTCTATAATGTCTAAATAAAGTACATATTTTAAAAAATAAAAAATTCAATATTTGCTATTTAGTATTTTTATCCATTGCTATAATTAGTTATTTGTTATTTGATACATGTTTTGAATATAAAATTTATGTAATTGATTGGCTTATGCTATATGCCTTGCGGTTTTGCATTACAAGAAGAAAGAAAATACGAGATTTGATTGGATTTTGCATTGTCTCATTTATGGAATATATAATAGACTTAATCTTAAAAAAAAAAATTGTCCCAGCAGTATATCTTGGAATATATGAGACTTGATCTTCTTTCTGTTGTATCTAGACAATAGAATAGGAGAAGATATTGGGTGCACCAGACATACCACGTCATTGGTATGTTCACCCAATGAAAATGCACCATACTAGCTTGTTGAGTGCATTTTTTATAAGTAGGTGCGACATATTTCATTAGATGCTACCTTTTTATTGGGTGGGAATACCAACAATGTGGTATGCCTGGGGCACCCAATATATCTACTTGTAAAATAGAATCTTAATTGGTCTTATTTATGAAATATTATATATATATATATGCTAACAATTATTCCAACACCAAAAGGTTCAAAACATAGTTAATTTGTCTCTAGTAATTAATCAATGTCTACCACATTCCACATTAATATCAAGAAATAATCATTTAAAACGCGTAAACTTGAAATTTTCATATATATCAGCTACATAGATTTTTTTTTTTTTTATAAGTAAAATTTTATAAAAGCGCTCAAAAGGGGAGCGAAGCCCAAAAGAAATACACAAGGCCACAAAGGACCTTTAAGCCTTCAAAGAGGCCAAAAAATCGACAATTTCCTCTAAAGATCTATGATCTCTCCCTGAAACCCAACAAAAAAAGGTGGAAAGAATAGAAAATTTAAGAGTAGAAATCGACATCTCCTTCCCATCAAAATATCTCCTATTCCTCTCGAGCCAAATACACCACCACACACAAAGAGGCGTAGCCCTCCAAGCATCCTAAATGTGAGCCCCCACATGGCAACCTCTCCAAGCCTCAATCAACCCTCTAGTGGATCCAGGCATAACCCAAAGAATCCCAAACAAGCCAAACATCAATTTCCAACAGTCTCTAACCATGGTGCAATGGAGGAGAAGGTGATCCACAATTTCCTCATTCCGAAGACACATATAGCAATGATTGACAACAAGCTGATTTCTCCTTCTCAAATTATCCTGGGTTAAGATCTTTCCCAGAACAGAGGTCCAAGCAAAGAAACCCACCTTGAGAAGAGCCTTAGAGTGCCAAACAAGCTTCCAAGGGAAGCGAACTCTAGGATCATCCGTAAGGGATCTGAAAAAGGACCTAACCTCAAAGCGCCCTTGAGAGTTGGCAGCCCAAGACCAACTATCAGAATCCCCATCCACAATCCTCTGGCGATACAACAACTCCAAAAAACGAATGGCCTCCTCAATCTCCCAATCCTGAAACAATTGCCTGAATCGAACATTCCAAACCAGTGTACCGCTATCAAGATGATAACAGTTAACCACCATGGCCTGCCTATCCCTAGCAATCTTAAAAAGTTGAGGAAAAGTGAGGGCGAAAAGAGAATACCCACATCAAACATCCTCCCAAAAACTGATCCTCCTACCATCCTTGATTCGAAAACGAACGTGTTTGGAAAACTCATCCCATCCCTTCCGAATGACTTTCCAAACCCCCACACCCCGAGGGCCACGCACCTCCAGAGAACACCACCCTCCTCTAGACTCCCCAAAACGAGAAGCAACGACCCTCCTCTAAAGCCAATGCCTCTCCACTCCAAATCTCCAGAACCATTTTCCAAGGAGAGCCTTATTGTCTTCTAAGACCCAAACCTCCATACCGAATTTGCCTGCACACCTGATCCCAACAAACCAGATGAAACTTAAACTATTCTCCTCTACCCCCCCACAGAAAGTTTCATTACAATCTCTCAATCCTTTCCGCAACTGAAGACAGAGAGATAAAATAAGTAAGAAGGCAAGAAAGGGTGCTCTTAATCAGAGTGACCCGACCTCCCTTGGAGATATACTGCTTCTTCCAACCTGCCAACCTCTTCTCAAACCTATCCACCACAGGGTCCCAAACCCCAACACATCTCGAAGGAGCCCCCAAAGGCATCCCTAAGTAAGAGATGGGAAAAGAGCCAGTACGACAACCAAGAATATCAACAAATGACTCAATCTCAAAGACCTCTCCCACCAGCACCAAAACGCTTTTACCCACATTCACCTTTAGGCCAGAAACAATTTGGAACCAGATCAGGACACACCTCAAATACCTAAGCTGGGACTCGCATCACATAGAACTAAAGTGTCATCGGCAAACATCAATTGGGAGACCTCCAACTGGAGAGCAACATCCCTGCCCACCCGAAAGCCTGTAAAAAACCCTAACTCAATAGCCCTGCTCATTAGTCTGCTAAGGGCCTCTATCACAAACAGGAACAAGAAAGGGGAAAGCGAATCCCCTTGTCTCAAGCCCTTCAAGCTAGAGAAAAAACCGGTAGGAGCACCATTCACAAGAATCGAAAAGCGAGCACTGGAAATACAAAAATGAATCAATCTCCTCCACCGATCACCAAACCCCATCCTCTCCATCAGGTAAAGAAGGAAGCTCCAACTCACATGGTCGTATGCCTTCTCCAGGTCAAGCTTACACAAAACTCCCGGGACCCCACTACGCAAACGGGAGTCCACACACTCACTTGCAATAAGAACTGAATCCAAAATCTGACGGCCTCCCACAAAAGCATTCTGAGAATCAGAAATGACGCCATCCAAGACTTTCCATAACCTTAAAGCAAGGACCTTGGCAATCAACTTGTAGAAACACCCCACCAAACTAATAGGGCGAAAATTCCTAATATCCATCCCCCCCCCCCCCCCCCCCCCTCGCCCTTCTCCTTCGGAATGAGAGCAATGAAAGTGACATTCAAGCTCTTCTTAAAAGAGCCTTGAGCATGGAATGCATGAAAAGAACCCATCACCTCCCCTCTAACCACCTCCCAGCATTCTAAAAGGAATCTCATGGTAAAACCGTCAAGACATGGGGCTTTGTCCCCATTACAACTCTTCAAAGCAATAAGAACTTCCTCTTCAGAGAAAGGCTCCTCAAAACCTGAGCACTCCTCACTAGAAATAGAGGCAAACTGAAGCCCTTCAAGCAAAGGTCTCCACTCATAGAACTCTGAAATGCCCTTGTAGATATTCTCCTCCTTACAAAGAAGCTCCCCTTCCACCTGACTCCTCCCAATATGATTACCCCTTTTATGAGCATTGGCCAATCTGTGAAAAAAATTCGTGTTACTGTCCCCCTCCTTGAGCCACAAAGCTCTAGACTTTTTGTCTCCACGAGATCTCCTCCATGATCACAATTTCAGCAAGCTCCGCCTTACACTCCGCTCTCCTAACCTTCAAAGCATCTGCCAGATCCCCTTGACCCTCCATCCTATCAATATCAGCAATCTCAGCCAGAACCCGATTTTTCTTCCACACAAGATTCCCGAAGACCTCTTTGTTCCAAATCTTAATACTTCCCTTCAAGAGACGCAAATGACCTGCAAACAAATGACTAGGGGTGCCAACCACCCCGAACCCCTCCCACCAAAGTCGGACCCTTTCCAGGAAACCCTCAACCCGAAGCCACATATTTTCAAATCTAAATAGAGAGCATCTACTCCGCAACCCGCCACAATCCAGCATCAACGGAACATGGTCAGAGATAGGACAAGCCAAAGTAGCCTGCACAACATCAGAAAACATCTCCTCCCATTCCCCGGACACAAGGAACCTATCAAGCCGAGAGAGAGTAGGGGGAGAATGTCCACTAGACCAAGTAAAGGCCCTCCCACCAAAGGCAGGTCAATCAACCTAAACTCATCAATGAATTCCGAGAAGAACTGCATATCAGGAGTCCACCTACCCCCCGTCGACCTCTCAAAAGGAGATCAAACAACATTAAAATCCCCTCCAACACACCAAGGAAGCATCCATTGTCTTCGAACCTCCCCCAATTCCTCCCAAAGCAGATGATGCACACTATCCTCTGTAGGCCCGTAAACACCAAAAAAGACCCAAGGAACACCATCCTCCACCAAAGAAAAAACACATAAAACAGAAAATCTCCCAACGTGAGAATCCACTTTAGACACCCATCTGTTATCCCACATGATCAAGATGCCACCCAAAGAGCCAACAACATCCAAAACAATCCACTCCACAAATCTCCCACCCCAAAGACAACGCACCAACCTAACTGACATCGAAGCAAGCTTAGTTTCTTGCAAACACACCTCATGACCTCCCCCTTTACGAATGACCGACTTCACCACTTTCTCCTGACCGAGTCATCGAAACCCCGGACATTCTATGAAAGAATATGTAGCTTCATAGGGAAACAACAGAATTAGCAAACCCTCCCCTCCTTCCACCATCTCTCTCCCTGGATCCCCTATTCCTCCTTTCATATGTGATAAAACCAGTGGGACTCTGCAACACCATTTCTCCCACCCCATCCTGCCTTCTTCCCCTACCTCCCACCTTTTCCCTGAGTTGAGAATTGAGAACTTCCTGGAATAACCGCATCGCCTCATCCTCCCTACCTCAAAAGACACTCCCAACAAAGAGGCCACATCCATCCCTTTCTCCCTCACCCACTCCTCCTCCAAATCATTCACTTCTTCAGTATCAGAAGGACCTCTCATCCAATCCCCCTCCGGACGAACAACAGTCAAAGGAACAGCCAAGTTCACAGCTTGCTCAATATTTTCCCATTGAACTAAACCCAAATCCCCATCTGGTGCAAAACAAGCATCTCCCTCCTAATCATCAAGGACAGAAGAGGAAAGGGAACAATCAGTCATCAGTGATTCAGGTTACTCCTCACACTGGACAGATTTCGAAGCCAAAAGATCCCGAATCTCCTTCAACAGAACAGTGGCAGAAGCATCATCAATCTTCACCCTTACATCCTATCCCACACAGACCGTAACACCCTCACCAAAATTCTCAGAAAGTCAAGCGAGACCAAGCCTATTCACAGACCTGCCGCCATGCCCTTCATCTGACTTAAACACCGAGTCACCTTCACCAACCGGAGCCAAAGAATTGGAAACAGTTCCACACCCCCCCCCCCCCCCCCCCCCCCCCTCTTCTCCAACCCCAACGATCTACTCGACCCCCCAAAGAATCGGGTTCTGATCTGAGTAAGTCCACAGTTGTTTCTGGGTCTTCTACACAGATAAAGGTCAAGAAACAAATAATTAGCCATTTACCCTAGTGTTGCATTATGGAGGTAAAAAGTAAATACTAGAAAAACATAAATAAAAATAAATAAATGACAACTCAATGATATCTAAAATGCACAGTGCTAACAATGAATCAAACAAAGAATCGGTAATATTCCAAATGTTTGATTCCCGAGAGAAATGCCAATGATCAATTAAAAATGGGCAAATTTCACGGAACCCTCAATACTATCAGTTTTTTATCAAATACCCCCAACCTACTTTAGAAAACCCCCAACACTATGAAATTTGATCACATTGCACCAACTCTGTGATTAAAGGACAAAACTAACCTTCTGATATACCAAATCAATTTAAAAAGCCAAAATTAGTATTTTGCCAATTACAAAAATAGCCTAGGTGACATTTAAGTCACCAAAGCACAAAACGACCACGTTTTGTGTGTATATATATATTGGCACTAAACACAGTCATTTTGATCAAACTCATATCACGCAATTCTTTATTTGGTTGGTATATATTATATGTATATGTATATGTATAATAATGAAGAATCTGAAGGAGCGAGATAGGAAGGGGTTGACAAACACTTGCGATCAGACGGATTGGAAGGGACTAGGTTTTGATCCATCGAATTCAATCCAGGCATGTATGTTGCGCCCATTTTGCATATATACAGGGATGAGATCACTACTATTGGTGGAGTTATAGTACCCAGCTCTAACTGTGACCTCCGATTCGATGTTGTTCAAGTTGATTCTGATGTGATTGTCATCTGGGTCGTTGAATTCCGGGTTTCGGCCGGTGTCGAATTCGACAACGAGGAGGGTGGCGACGGTGGGGACGATGGCGTTGGAGAAGAGGCCAAAGTACTGGCCGGAGATGGCGCCAGGGGGTGAGGTGGAGCTAGAGAGGATGAAGGCAAGGCCGAAGTCGGGACTGGAACTGATCTCCGACAAGATGGAAAAGACGAAGGAGGTGGAGAAGGAAGAGATGGTGGTGGAATTGGAAGTGGATTTCTTTAGGATTCGAGATCAGTGAAAGACTAGGCCAATTGAGAACTGGTTGGAGTCGTTGGTAAGTCTGATGGTGGAGGACTTGAGCCAAGCGTCGTCGGTAAGGTTGAGGTCGGCGGTGGCATTGAAGGAATTGAAGAGGAAATCGAGGGCAAAAGACGAAGGGGGGGGGGGGGGGGGGGGGGGGGGGGGAGAAGGAGGAGCAGAAGGCGAAACATTTGGATAGAATTTGATGACAGAGAGTTCATCTCGCACCTTAGATTTGAGATATGGAATGTGGGAGTTGTGTGAGAGTCGTACACATTTTGAGTTTCTAATAATGTTTTTGATTTGGTAAAATTTCATATTCTTACCATTCTCTTGTATAAAGAATTGGAAAGAAAAGTCATCTTGAAACACGTACATGATGTCTTTTATACATATACATATAATATATACACACAAAACGCTGTCGTTTTGTGCTTTGGTGACTTAAATGTCACCAAGGCTATTGTTGTAATTGGCAAAATACTAATTTTGGCTTTTTTAATTAATTTGATATGAGAAGGTTAGTTTCGTCATTTAATCACAGAGTTGGTGCAATGTGATCAAATTCGTAGTGTTGGGGGTTTTCTAAAGTAGGTTAGGGGTATTTGATCAAAAACTGATAGTATTGGGGGTTTCGTGAAATTTGCCCATTAAAAATTTATTAATTTGTTACACAAATTGTGAATAAACCGACAAACTTTGGAAGCTGATTCAGTTTGAGTTGCTGTGATTTTGAATAAGGCAGCTAACAAGACCAAATTGATGAGTATGAATCAGGCTTAGTTGAGTGGAGCTTTTAACTCCAACAGGGTGGGCGTTGCGAGTTCGGGTGGGAGAGAATGTTATAAGGGGGACTTGTCCCACATCGGAACCAGATGGGAAGTGAAATCGGTATATATGGGTTGGGTGTTAGCGACCTAATAGCTTAGGCTTTTGGGTCGCGCAATTTTGTATAGCATAGATGATGATTTACGTTTGACATAGAAAAATGATAAGTAATTTTTTTTCTTTTTCCTCTCTTCATTTTTGTGTTTCTCATTTATACTGCCGAATTTCCTTTGATGTCATTGTAACAAAAAATGATAAATGTGTTTCCAGTTGCAATATAACTTGTAAGGTAGCAATCCCATCTTGTTGCTATTTAGCTGAATTGTATCAGTTATCCAACTTTGTCCTGTGTTTCAGCATGACCTGGGATATTACCAATTCAAAAGCAAAACACTACAAGACAAGTTTTGCCCTGAAGGTTTGTGCAAGGCTTTCATGTTTGCTTTGCTTGTGAAGGAGGAGCTCCAGTGTTGGCCAGAACAGAGCACCCGCCATAGAAGTTGGTTGAGAATCCCTGAAGCTATCAATTGTTGCCGTTACCAATGGATGAGAGAAGCTCTTGAGGAAGGTTTTTCCAAGTGGCAAGCTAATGACATGAAGAATAAGGAACTCCAAGCTTCTTCGCCCGCTTCCTTTCCTGACCAGCATTGATTAGTTCCTAGATGCTTACTTAGAGGTTCCTTTCATAAGCTGATTTGGCTGGCATCTTTTCACATTTATGATTTTGATTTTCTGGGTGTAGGATGTAAGGCCTCTTTAGATACTCAACCATGCAGTTTTGTTGTTGTTGTTATTGTTTCTTCCACGATTTTACTGTTTTAGTTCATGGGAACAGGAAATTTTGGAAACACGGGGTGAAAAACCCATCATTTGTTTACAATGTGGGAATGGCTCTTGGGTTGTTTTTTGCAAAGGAAATCAATATGTTTTGACTATATATATGTACAGCATATTCTTAAATGTTTGTGCAAGTATAGTCAGATTCTATTAGCCAAGAATGTTTGTTGGTGCTTTCTATATTAAACGTACGTTTTGAAGGGACTGAGTTGAAATATATTCATGAAATTAAAATAGTTAGATGGGACATCATGATGAACTGAAGCTGATGGTAGTTTACATGCAACAAAAAATCATGGAAACAAATTGGCCTAAGCAAATGTGATTCCACAGAGAAAATTAGTATGAATAGTACAAAACATGGCCGCGCAAGTACACGTTAGATGAGCCGTTGCTAGTTGGCGGTAGCTTGGATTTGCTTGGTTTGTAACTCTAAAAATAGTAGCTCTCGAAAACTCATAAAATAGAGAACAGTTTTCATGAAACAATAAAAGAATATTCTCTGAAAATCGACTTTTTTATAACTAAGTTTTTTGAAACTGAAAGAAATAAAGTTTTTTTTTTTTTTTTTTTTCTGTAGAATATTTTGTTTTTTTGATAACATAAAATTGTTACCAGAATCACAAACCAACCAATCAAGCACTTAACTTTTGCCTAATTTGCATTAACCCTCCTGCACAATGGACAATACATTTTTTTGAAATGACAGGATGTTGAGATGCTCTTCCATCAGATCTTCTGTGATGATTAAAACAAGCCAAAACAGGTCCAGTAATGAATTGTACCAACTCTGTACTTAACTTAAAAAGAAGCTGAAGCTGAGTACCAAATAGCTTGTCATTTGGACGATGGGTAACTGGCAACAAGTTTATTATTATTCGGGTTGTGTTTGGCTGTATCGCATGTCCATTTTTAAAGGAACCCAAACAATTTAAATGAACTACTGTAGAAAATATAAACAAAAGAAATCGCTTTTTTGCGGGTACATGTATAGTGTGTTTATATGTTCAATTTCATCACTCATTTCAATGGACCGTCTTTTATCACCTAAATTACTACTATCTTTTAATTTTATAAAAGATTTGGTGTATTTAATTAGTTCACTGTAATTTCAAAACCATATGTCAGAAATTTTTAGGGATTACAAATCAATCATTTTTAACTTTAAGAAGCATGAATATTTTCATATTTTTCCTTTTTAGGATGACCTTATTTTTTTTATTTTTTATTTTTAAAATAAATTTTTATACTACTTTATACATTTTCTCCACTAATTTTTTTTTTTTTTTTTCTCTCTCTCTCTTAGTTGACACTTGCACACATGTCTCTTGAAAGTTTGAACCCTTAACCTTTTTTAGAAAAGTAAGAACATGAAATCGCTAGACCACTGATTCGTTGTAATTTTCCTTTGACTTACAAGATCGTCAGCTCTGAGATGATTTTTTAAACTGAACTTGTCAATGTGCTGAACTACAGATATATATATATATATATATATATATAGCTAAAATTGATACCTTATAATTAAGGCACTGGCAGGCAGGTGTGACTACACCAATGAATTGCCTATCTACTACTACTGCTAACAAGTGCATGTAATAATTTGGGCTATGGTGAACGGGGTCGGGATGCATGCATGTTGATCTCTGCGACAATGTCACGAATGGTACACAACTGGTGTAGACACATACAAACATACAAGCACTCTCTCTCTCTCTCTCTCTCTCACACACACACACACACATAAAATGTTTTATTTTCTCAACTAGAAATGCTTTATCGTGTGAAAAAAATAAATCAACTAGTCTAGTCACCACAACAGGGAAATAATATATAATTAACCAATAACATTTGTGAGATATCATGTAATAATCATATTACTGTACTCGGACTAATTTTTGTCTTAACTATAGTTTTCAATTTATACTGATCTCTCTCTCCTCTCTCATTATCTCTCTACATACATACTTTATTTTTTCAATTTGCATGGTTTAACAATTCTTTTTCCATATATATATTTTTTTTCTTTTTTGAATGGTATTTTCCAATAATTTTGTATGGTATAGCAAGTTAATGTTTGATGCAATGAGAATAGTTGGAAAGTTTTTAATGAGTTCAAGTAGATATTTAATTTAAATAATAATTAATAACAAACGTTACATCAGCGCCTTCATTTGATTAATATAGATCGAGTGAGTCGGATTTATTTTTGCAAGTTGACAGCTTTATTATCTTGCAAAAAATAAAGTTTTAAAATGAGAGTGATAATGTAATTATCATTTGGAACTGAAGAGAATTCTTTTAAACAGTTTTGTATTTTAATAGTTATTCTATTATTTTTGCAATTAATTTCAAATTAATATATCTATATTCTTGCATGCCACCACAAGAAGTCACTATATCAAATTATTTCATTATGTAAATTTTAGCTAGAACAGAACATATAAACAGGCCAAGTTGATGGATGTTAATTTAGTATAATTAACTTGTGATCGTGGCTACATATAAATTAAATGATTTAAAAGAACAAATGAAAAGTTATAGTTTTAATGGATGGTCAAAATCACCCTTGATTGGGATATGTACGTACGTGGAAATTAATACCCACCACTAGCTACTTCTCCTTTTGTTTGCTAATTAATCTTGTTTTCCAAATATTGCACTCCATGTGATTACCTCAACTTAGGGGCTGTTTGGCTTCAGGGTTTTGTTAAGCTAAAACAATGTATTTCTCTTATAGCTAGGATCCTTCTATTCATTTTACAGATATGTGTGTGTGTTGTGTGTGTATGTGTGTGTGTCTGTTGGGTCCTTGGACTACCTTTTTTGCACTACTAGCCTCCTTTGTGGTGTAGGACCTTCAGAAATTTTGCCATATATATTAATGACAGGTAGTACGTCATTACATTAACAGATTATACTGTATATCTCTTTCAACTCCATTAAGAGTTTAAAGTGAACTGTTTCCAAACTTACCCTAGATCTTGAATTGCCAGAAGATACACGATTATATAACTATTAACCCTAGATCAGATTCATTTAGTTGTTAAAACATAAGAATTATGAATATGTATACACAATTACAAGCGAAAAGTAAAATTATTATTAAACACACACACATAGATATATATATATATATATATATATATATATATATATATATATAATCATATAATCATATAATCATAATAATTAAAGCATAATATATATACAATTAATTAGGCCTAGGCAAGCTTACCCAATTTACATTGCATCAAGGCCTCTGATCACATCAAGTTGAGCAGATTCATAGAGCAAGCTGGATGGCAATAAGGTACCAGTGAAATTCTCGAGCATCTGAGGCGTAAAAAAATCATCATACGGCCCAAATGGAATATTATCGGACCTCTTAAGCACTTCATTACCGGTCGGGTCCACTGTAAGGACATGATCATCTAGTGCATCATCGCTAACCTTCAATGTTGCATCATGATGATCAGGGACCGTTTGACGGTCATGATCAACACCGTCGATCTCCGAATACTTAGTGGGGTCGGGCATATCGGCATCTTGGCCAGTCAGTTCTTGCACCAAGGCTCTGAATTCTGAAGCGCTAGTCTTGATCTTCATGGGGTTAGAGATGTACACAACTTTCACTGGTTTTTTCTTGGCTTTGGCCTGTTTGGTTGCCTTTTTTTGTTGTACACTCGCTAGTTTATCCATCTCTTCTACTACTACTAAAGAGATCGATCGATAGATAAAGATCAGGAGCAATATATATACACACACACACACACACACACACACACACCTTAAGCTCAAAGAGTTCAATTTTTGCTATAAAAAAATAAAAAACACAGTGGGTGTGGGAAAATTGTTATAGATATTGTTGGGATATGGTTTTGAGGTTAACAAGGAGCTAGTTCCGAGAAAGGAAATTGGAGAAAAATAAGAAAGAAAAAAAAGTGGATGTCCTCGAGACTTGTGGAAACTGGCAAAATATGAGAGGTATAATTTATGCGATCCTCATTCCCAACCAAAGCGCGTCACAAACATTTACTTATATACCTTTATTTCTCATAAGGTATATCATATACCTTTATTACCAAAAATAGTATATTTTTATTTTCGAGTATGAGGAATTAATTAAAGAGAAAATTACACTTACGATATATTTGAGAGTCTAAAATAACAAATCAATCTATTATTAAAATTAATTTTTTTAATTTGGTTTAGTTAGGTAAAATAATGACATGTGCATTAAAAACTATTATTTAAATTCAAAATATCCTCCAAACTCTTATTTCAAAATATCAAAATATCCTTCCTAAATCAAGTCATTCTTTCATTCATAAAATTTAGAAAAACAAATTTTCTAAGTTGACTTTCAACTTGGCATTGATGTATATATTACCAAAATAAAATAAAATAAACTTATATATATATATATATATTATATAAATTTTGTACAAATTTTTTAACCATATCTTCTAATCCGGTTCAAAACTGCAAATATTAATTTAAAAATATACAAATAATTTAATAAAAATTCATTATGTATAGAATTTTTTTTTAGTAAGTGAAAATTCATCCTCTCTCTTTCTCTCTCTCTCTCTCTCTATATATATATATAATTTATATGCATCTAACATTAATCATATCTCCAAATTCATACCAATATAAACCTACAAATGTGAGAACTTTCATATGAATATATATATATATATATATATATATATATACACACACACATATACAGTACACACGCAAGAGAAAGGGAAATCATAAAAAAACTAAATGGTTGCTTCAGTAAATAGTACACCAGCAATCAATTTTTTATTATTTATAAAATAAGTGTAATTAATTGAGTTAAAAAATTAATGATTATCTCAATGCATGTACCACATATCTACAACAAAGACGTTTTATACATTCTTGAGTTTAATTATATTTTTCTTTTTGGGGACTAATCTTTGATTGCCCTATTTTTTACTATATTGAATCTTTTTTATTATTTACATAAGTTATCGTGTGCATATATGAAAGTTACAGCAATATGGTTCAAAGTTAAAAGAAATAAATTATTTAAAAAAAAGTCCTTGATTTTCGGAGAATAATTTTTAGTAATTTGGAATAAGTCTTTGGAGGGTATTTTTGACCTAAATAATAATTATTAATACATATGTAATTATTTTATTTAATTCAATTAAAATAAAAAATGAACTTTTTAAAATAAGCTAGATTATTATTTAAGAATCATAACTCTATGCAAATGTAGTTTTTACTTAATTAAATTCAAATGGTGTATGAAACGCACGCGCGGAACATGTGTGTGAAGAAGGAAGAGCTTTAGCAAGAAGCGGTGCTATCAGTGTGCCAATAATTGGCAACCACTGATAGGCTACTTAGATGTCCTAACGTCACCGAAACGTCATATGGCCACGTCATAATATCTACATCGCTATAACGGCTGAGTCTGACTGAATCGGCTCGGCTTAACCTTTGATCCATTAGAATCAGCATCATCTATGGTCATCAACTAAAGGTTGGGTGTGCAAGAGATACACTTGAAAACAAACCCTCACGCACGTGTATTGACTTTGGAAGCTGGAAAGAAAAGTTGGAAACACCTAACTTATAGTTACCGACAGCTGCGGTGGAAAGAAGAGATAGAGTAAGGGCAGTATCACACATACTTGCGATGGAGACTCACTCGCTTTATTTTCTTAATTGCTTCTCTCCCACGTTTAGATTGTTATGTACTAATTCGATAAGGGGGCCCTACATATTATATGTCGGTGTCTCTCTCACCAATAAATTATTAAATTCTAAACCATAAACCTAATCCTCGTTTTGTTTGGAAGAAAACAAAGTGTGTGGGAGTGTTTTATCTGGAAATAAAATAAAATTAAAAACATTGAACAAAATTTAATTTAGAGTAACCCCAGCGCAGGGATTTTTTTCATTCTACACTTTATATAAATAATCACATCACTAATTTTATGTAAAGTGTACAGTCACATCAGTAATTAATTATACACTTATTTTGAAGGCTACAAGTTCTTGTTGTGCACTCATTTTTTCATTGTACACTTTATTATATTATTATTTTTAAAATAATAAAATAAATTTATTATTATTATTATTATAATTATTATTTTTTCAACAGTTTTATTCTCAACAAATATAATACTCCGAATTGTTTACTCCGATTATTAGTCTATAATTGTTTACTCCGATTTAGATACAAGATTTTAAAAATATATATATATTAAAAAACAATAATATTACATACGTAAAAAATAAAAATAAATAAATAAATAAAAGTACATTACATAACTTCCTACAGATAAAATAAAACAATACAACTCAGGAAAAAAAAAATACATTAATACTTCCACACATGAAAAAAATATAGTAAACATTATAATTAATTGTCCCTTTTTGTATAACGCGCCATAATTCATTTTGTCGATTCTCGATCCATGCTTTCACCGCCAGTGTTGCAGTATCATTTAGATTTTTTTTCCATCATAAAATTGATAAGTCAAATAGTACAAACTTTTTTTAAAAAAAAATAATTAATTAAATTATTATGCAAATTAAATGACTCTTTTTATTTATTTAGAAAAAATATTTTTTTTAAATTAATTAAAATTTGACTATCTTTACATTAATTAATTAATCCAATACACATACAATATTTATTTTATACGTCATCACACAATATCACTTTTCCATTTTATATTATTATCACACACAAACGCCCACATAATGGCCCATCTACTACTGTTGCCAGGCGCTACTTGATTCTTCAACTGTGGCGTTTGGAGTGTGTAATATTGCATGGGCCCTATTTGTGTGTGTAGAGGGAAAAATCTCCCTCCAATAAGAGCAATCCACGTCATCATAAATATAATTTTATCTTCAATAAAGGTCAAAGCCCATTTCGTCAAAAGCCCAAGTTGAGTTGGTCATTAACCCAAAACTACCGCTATTTAACTACGGGCTTTACTAACGCTCGAATCAAGACGCCAGCAGGCGGGTGTACCAAGTTAGATGCGGCCCAAATCCATTTAAAGAAGGAACCGGTCCTACAAGGAAAATGATTCATCAAAGGAAGTAAGTTCTGTGTAAGGAAAATCCGGAAAAGGAAGAATTATAAAGAGGAAAGAATTCTATTTGTAAAGAAATTGATATATAGAAAGAATTAGAGGACAAGCAACGCGAGTCCTACCATAATTCTTCTAACTTTTGTATATAAATAGAGGCCCAGACCTCCAATAAAGGGATCCAAGCAATTCTGCGCTTCTCTAGATACTGTTCTAATTTATTTTTACTGTTCTTGAGTGTGTTGTATTATTTTTCTCAATTGTTATTAGTTAAGTAGAATTTTGCACTTACACTTTGGCGCCGTCTGGGGAATCGTGTGCAAATATATTCCCATTCTTGTTTTTGTTTCACAAGTGAATCCTGCAGCTAACCGTCCAGAATGTCGAACGGAGGATCTTCAGCAGATCAACAGACGGAGTTGATGCAAAAGATGCGTGAAGAGTTTCTGCACCAATTTGACGTACTTCGTCAGGCAAACGAAGCAAGCGTAGCTCAGATCGCCTTGCTTCAACAGCAGAATAACGCTCTGCAAACGACGCTGTCTCAGTTGGCACCACCGCCACTAGTGGGTGACACAGCAGCACCCCCTGGTCAGAATATTCCTCCGATTACTGGACTTCTGCCTGATGGGGTTCCACCTAATGGGGCACGACCCAATGAGGTTCAGCAGCAACGGAAGGCAAGATTCGAGGCTGCGTCTTCAGATAACGTCCCTCGTCTCACACAGGATGAGCAAGTCGAATCCAACCATAAGTTTACGATGTGGTCCAATGGAATCCCAGATGGTGCAGGTACTCAGGATGCCTTTGATGAGAAGAGACTCCTGAAGATTCAAACACCTGCCGAGATGGCTAGAGAACACAAAAATTCTTTGATTAAAACTCCTTTCACTGACGATGTGTATCTGGTAGAGAGGCCCAAGAAATTCACCATGCCTTCTTTCACCCAGTTTGATGGAACAGGGGATCCTTCTCGGCACCTAGATCATTATGCTCAAAAGATGGCTTTGGATGATCGTAATAACCCTTGGATGTGCAGAGTTTTTCCTACCAGTTTGATAGGAGCAGCACTAGAGTGGTTCAGGAATAGACCGCATAAATCCATCCCGGATTACGTAACTCTATGCACCATGTTCCTGGCACAGTATTGCGGAAATAAAAAGCAAAAGAAAAGCATTGCCAGCCTCTTCACCGTAAGGCAGAAAAGGGGGGAAACATTACAGGATTTTTTATCAAGATTCAACATTGAGGCATTAGAAATAGCGGATTGTCATCCCGCAACTGCTATAGAGACATTTAAACTTGCAATGATTCAGGGGACGAAGTTCCACACTTCTCTAGTCAAGTATTCTCCTCCCGACATGCAGACTCTAAATGCCAGAGCCCAGATCTATATTCTGCTTGAGGAAAATATAGTCCACCGAGCGCAGCACGCTACCCTTGTGATAGTGGAAAATAAGCCTCGAGAAAGAATCCCAACTCCAAAGATTCAAAAAAGCCAACGTTCCTTAACGCCAGTCACCCAGGCACCTGAAAAAAGGCAAAGGGTAGAGAAAGGATTTACACCTCTCCGAATTACCTTGGCTCGGCTCTTCCAAGAGAATAAGACGAAGTTCACAACTCCGCAGCCAATAAAGCAACCCCTGGAGCAAAAGGACAAAAGCAAGCATTGCGCTCATCATCGAGATTATGGGCATTCAACCAACGATTGCTGATCCCTCAGGCGACAGGTGGAGAATATGATCGCTAGAGGTGAGTTGACGGATTACCTCATGACAAAGGAGCATGCAAAGCCCCGCGAGGTCTATCCCGCAAGGTAGAAGGTACGCAAGTAAAGGTCATCCATGCAATACATGGTAGGTTTGAAGATGATCAAGAGTCCGAGGA